TGTTCTCCCCTGCAGAGGAAGGCAGGACGCGCTGCAACAGAGCCAAGCTCAGGGAGCCAAGGTTCCATTTGGATGCCAGGAAGCACTTCCTGACAGTTAGGACCCTGGGGGTGTGGAATGGGCTTCCCCAGGAGGTGGCTGAGGCCCCATCCGTGAGGGTGTTCAAGGATAGGCTGTACAGGCACATGGTAGGCAAGTCATGAGTGGAGCCAGCTGGGTCAGACTAGAGGGCCCAGAAGACCCCTTCTGACTCTCTGTGTTTCTAAAGGGAGAACTCTGGCTACAGAACAGGATGGAAATAGCATGAACGAATGCTTTAAACTGATGTTAAGAGCCGAGACCAGTTTTCAGCCTGGTGTGTGCCGGATTCCAACTCCGTAACCATTAGCTGTTCTTGTTGAGGCTGGCGGTAGATGAACTCGACTCATATGGAGGGCACCAGATTGGAGAAGGCTGCTTAGACTCTCCTTCACACATAGGGTTAAAACAACTATTTGCTGAGGACTGTCCTTAAACATTATTCACAAACCAAATATTATATTCCTCTGATGGTTCTAAAGGCTGAAAATGAAGCAAATGGAGTCAGGTTATAACACTGGAATACCTTTTTAATTGTTTTTCCTCTTCCGTAAGATGGCTTGTACTTCCAAAACACACAACAGTTCAATTGTGTTAATATCCATTCACATTGATGCATAAAAGGCCAGATTTCACAAACAGAGAACATGTAACAGCCAGTAACACAATGAAGTAAACATTGCCATTTTTCGCAAACCCCCCACTCCCTTCCAGTTGACTTGCTGGGATTGCGATGCGGTTCTGAAATGATACAAATCTCTCTGACCAGTTTGGATAGTGCGCGGCATGGTTGCGCCTTTGAAATTAAATTTCTTTTTAGAAAATCCCATTTATCCCATATGCAGGGGTGGCAGAGGAAAGGCAGGGAAAGGGCTTACAAATAGGAATGTCTGTAAACGAGTTGGATGCCTTATTTCGCCAGGATGAACTTCTTGCATTTTTTATTTTAAAATATTGGGCCAGTGGCTAACACAGTGGCTTTTAAGCTGAGTTTCTGAAAACCTGAGGAGTTCCCTAAAGCTTACTTCTGGGGCTTGTCCCTGGCACAATGGCTGAAGCACACTTCTCTTTCCATCCGATTCATGTGGCAAGTCAGGGGACATTCTTCCGTGGGGTGCAGTGTCCAGCTTGTGGCCCTCGGGATGGTTTGGCCTCAACTCTAGGCTCTGGCTACAGCTGACGGACTGGAAGGCCGCCGTACCTGGAGGACTGCCAGTCGGGGCTGTTCTGTTTTCCCCATGCAAAGGGAATGCCCGGCCAGCGAATTACCCAGCACAGAATGCTGGCGAAATCTTCCCGATCAGGAGGCTGGGTGCAGAAAAGGTCCTTAGCCGCTTTATAAGTGTGCAAAAGGCGCCCCGAGGGAAGGAAACTTGGAAAGCCCAGGTGAACCCGGCTGATAGCAAACAAGTCCAGCCACTTCTCACATTGTTTCCCCTGAAGCGGATACTGTGGGGGGGAAAGGGAAGACGCCGCAGGGCACGTGTGACCATGTGTGAAGACGGGAGTGTGTTCACCGTGTTGTGGAGTGCTGCATTCTGCTTTGGCCCGACGAGGCAACACAGACCCAGCACAGCCCGGCATGCGCTCGTGAAAAAGGGATCACTTTTCCTGAACCCATGTGGGGCAAACAGCAAGGGAAATGGCGGAACATTCTTATGTCCAACACAGGTTTGTTTTCATTCAGAAGAAAGGCTGCATTTGTTGGCTGTTCAGGGAAATTCACAAATGCATCAAGACCAAGGATCATGCAGGCTAAGATCCTAGGAGGCTGTCCAAAAGAAATGTTTCTCCATCTTCTGCCAGAGGAAAACATCTGCAGCTGACGGGGAAAGCCAGGGCCAACCAGCAACAGCCCAGATGCAAGTTGTGGCGTTTCCGCTGCAGAAACCTTGCCAGCCAAGGACTCCGAGGAGAAAGGCAGGGCTGAAGTGCTCAGTCAGTCAGACCATCCTTCCCAAATTATGTGCCCACCAGGTGTGCTGGGCTGCAGCTCCTACCGAGTCCGGTCAACACCACTGAAGTCCAACCCTTCTGCGGGCGCCAAGTTGGCAAAGGCCAAGTTGGATCATGCTAAGGAAGTATCTGAGAAGTTATTTCAGAACAAAGTCTGAAAAGAAATTGAACTGAGGGAAGAGACAGAAAGGCGACCTCCGATTTTCTTGTCCTGACCCAGCCCCATCTGGCCCGATGCAGAGCATGTACCCAAGTGACTTCTTGATCAGTTTTCAGCCTCACACCGACCCTGTGAGGTAGGTCTCTTACACAACTTTCTAAAAACCATCGTGTCAACCAACAGCGCTGTTTACCCGTGTTTCTAATCACCCCAAGTCTCTCAGATCCCATTTCCACACAACAGTCCATGCATTTCTGGGCCTGCAAGATTAACTTATCCATCAAATCAACATGCCAAGACAAATTACTTTTTGATTCTTTTTGGCAAGCAAGGAACATTTTACATAAAGGACCTGAGCTTGCTTGCTCTTTCTTTTTGAAAGGGGAACAGGTTCCAGAAGAAACGATCGTCTTAAAAGCAACTTGAAGGACTGTTTAATAAACCAGGTGCTGTGGTTTTAAGAAGGAACCGAAGTTGCTCTGTTCAAAGCCTTTCTGCAGAACCATTTGGCTCAGGACTGAGTAAGGCACTCTGATCTGTAACAGACTGGAGTGTCAGGAAGCAGGGCTGGGACTGGGAAACAAGCCACGAAGGGGTCTCAGGCGCACTGGGCCGTTAGGAACTGACTGAGAAACTGTGGCAGAAACAGCATCAGCAAGAAACTAAGTTTAGGGCCAAAACATCTAAACTGGTCTTGCTGGCAACAGCAATTAAATGAAACAAGAGGACCTCAGTTTCAAAACTTAACTCTAATTGTATTAATTATTTAGAGAAGGGTGTGCTCAAAAGAGGCAAGATGACCAAAGAGTGAGCTAGCCAAGGTTGCAAGCCACAGAGAGGTGACTAAGGGCCCTTCAGATGCTGTTGCTCCTACCAGACCTAGCCAGCATGCCCAATGGTGAGGGGCTGTGAGAGCTGCAGTTCTGCAGGGCCACCAACTGCCCACATTGGATGCAAATTTGCAGGAACAGGAAAGGATCCCGAAGTCTCCATATTCCCTAAAACGGCAGTTTTTACTTACCTATGGAAATGATGCTGAGGACTAGCAACCTGTATGTGTATGAAATGAAATGGTTTCCATCTCCGTTCAATCAAAGGACAGAGAAACCTTGTGTTTCATGGTCAAGAAGCCAGATAAACGAACAGGAGAGGGCAGCCACGGGGAATGGAACCTTGTGCTTATCATTTCCTCTGAAACCTGCCCGATGTGAGTGTGATGCCCACCATCTTCTCGCGTGCTACATCGGGGTTCCCTCGGACTTCAGAAAAGGGTGAGGTACACTTTTCGTGAAATTCAAATCGGAGGCAGTATTAACTCTCGTGGGGGGGGGACCCAACCCCCCCCCTTTGCTCTTTAGGCTACAAAGGACCGCGCCGATCACCATTTTTTAAAGATTACTGAATTCTGTAGCAGGTAAGTCAGTGCAGAATTTCCTCAACTACAGCTGGCTGGAATGAGGTACTTCCAAAGCATCACAGCAGCCTTTAATTAGTTTGCTGTTTATTGGATCTCTCAGCATGCCTTAGAGAATTTGGAAGGAACCCACAAGCATCGCTTCGTGGCCAAGATATCCGCTTGGATATGCCTCTTAAGGAAGGACAATCATTGCCCAACACTGGAAAAGTGAAGAACTACCCGCCGACGAACTGATTCTAAAAAAATCTTGGACTGTGCAGAAATGGATAGACTGACTTTATCACTGAAGGAGAAAGAAGATACTGACTTCTATCAAACTTGGGACTCTTTTTATTACTGGCTAGAGAAACGGGACTTCGTATAGATTTAAATATGTTTTTAAGTTATCATAAATGGAAAAAGAAGGGTGTGGGGGCCGACCCAGCAGGCCCGACATTTTGATGACTGATGTTGTTTTTAGTTTTTCTTTGTTTTTAGGATTATCATTTCAAATAAAACCTATTTTAAAAAAAGGGAGACACCCCTTGCAAACTTAGGAGTTTCCGCTTCCTGCCACATGCGTAAGTAGCAAGCATTGTGACCAGCTTTTCAATATTCTTTGATGCTACGCACACTACAAACACGCACAACGAGAGACCATACGCAGTCTTTAAAATAAGAAGACTAAATGGACGCATGTGAAGTCACCTTCTCTCCCAAGCACAGCATTCCAAACCATGGGTATGTTAAAAAAGGGGTTTTAAAAACCCTACAACCACCAAGCCGTACTCCAAAGAAGAGCTGAGGCTTCTCATGGCCACAGAAAGAGGTGATGCCAGAAAGCGCCACTCCCACAAACGAGGTGCTTCGTGGTGCACAAAAATTTGTTTGAGCCGGGCAGATAAACACAGAGCCACAATCCCTTGCCAAGTGCCGACTGACACATTTCTGCAATAGGCTTTCTCCTCCACAGAGATGCAGTTCTTTCCCAAAATCTTGGGGTTCCCTCACCAAACCCCAAAATAAGTGTCTTCTAAACCTCTGTCTCAGACCACCCCCGAGACACCAAAATAAATAAGTATAATCAGCACACATTAATGTACTTGGATATCGTGTGCTATAGAAGGGCTTGGTTATCCAATGCAGACTGCCACGACGTTTCCCACAACAAATTACTCCTCCTCCTGAGCAAAGAATGTCAGGGCTGCATACATACAGTAAGTAGAGTTTTAACAGATGAGACACAAGACATCCTTTGGATTAGAACCTGTACCAAGTTCTGTACAAATCTGACTGACTGCCACAAAACCTGTACTTATCGACTGCATTATTGCTGACTGGGGAGAAAAATATACCAAAAGCAGGTTGCAAACTCTCAAAAAATGAAGTGTTTGAGGGTATAACTCTAGGAAGTTTCAATGCAATATAATTATGTCAGGGAAGCTTAGGAACAGGCAAAACAAACAGCAACAGAAAGAGACAATATTAATCAATCAATCAATCAATCCAGAAAAGCCCATTATTGGTGTAGAATCTTTCAGTGCCAGCAAGTAAGGAAACTACAAAAGACCTTCCATTCTGACTCCTTCAGAGAGCGCTCTTCTCCCTTGGCTGCTGCATTTTTTGTGCTAAACCGCACCAGAACACAAGTGCAGGTTCTGAGCGGTGCCTGATCTTTAGGTGGAGTAACACACATCACGGAACTGCCGAAAGTAAAGACAAGCCTCATCTAACCTTGAACATGAATAAACTATGAAGAATTAAAACTAGCCTTCCTTGGAAAACCCTCGAGACACACAGCACACCAGAAAAACTTGAGGCAGATTAAAGTTGCCATGTTGGAAAGTGGAGCACCGTCCAGGAATTCCTTCAGCGCTCACAGCCTTTTCATGGTGCTTTCTTCCCCACAAAACATTGCAATAAGAAAAGGGGTGACTCTTGTTAAGAGGCGAGGGGAAACCTTTACTACTAGACATATTGTTTTCCCCAGAAGCCCGCCAGCAGTATTTTGAATCCTTAACTGTGCTTGTCCCCTTGCACAACGCCTGGAAGGGCTTCAAAGATTGGGCCCCGAGTCTATCCAGTGGTCCTTCCTTCAAAACATCTAGAGCAGCTTCCATATTAACTCCTTCAACGATGGTGGTGTGGGATTTTTAGGTACATATTTGCATGTGAAGGAAATCTAACTGTGGGGACAGCGTATGCCTTTGGGGAGAGAGAGTATGTGCTGCCGTGTTTTTCTGCCCTAGACGTTGGCAAGCACAGCCATTTTAAACCTTTAATTTTACGGCATTTTTACTTGAGCAGGCAGCTTGAAGAATTGACTGGGGAACAAATAGGGCCCCAGGTCACGTACACGAAAAGACAGGGATCTGTTGTGGATCTCCCAAGCTACGGCAGCAAGGGCTATCAGAACTAGAACGTGTTTTTTCTTGTGGAATCAAAGGCAAAAAGCTGTTTCTTTTAAAGGCACGAGGACAACATGTTTTGGAAGCAACTGGCCCTATCTGTGGCCTTTCCAAAGAAAAGGAAGGGCTGTTTCCACTTCAAAATGCTGATCTTTTTATACAGCCAAATCGTATTAAACAGCAGATTAAAAACATGCCTCATCAGCCAGTGGGCAATGGACACATGAAAATGTTTAAGAGGTTAACTATAAAACAATATTACATCCAAAATATGAACAGGCCAATTCAAGTATATACACAATATATTAAAATCATATAAATTATATATTTATACAAAGGACACAAGCATTGCAAGGAACTGCTGTGAATTTAACAGAAAGGAGATCAAAACTGCCAGGTTCACTCCAGATGTGCAATGAGTTTTGGGTGGGGGCTTTTTCACATCTGCACAGAATACCTCCAATTCCATAGGTAAAGAAAAAGCACAAAAATTGTCCCACACCAATGGCAATGTTAGCAAGCAGCAAGTTAATGTTCATGAGAAACTCCCAGTTCCTAACTTTCAGAGTGATCAGTAACTTTTCTTCTTTCCTATTCCCCGCACTCCAAATGAAAGGTTTCGAGTCACCTAGGGCAAGAATTAATCCTGGCTATTTAAATGTGACATTTGGTGTTTTCTTCCAATTGCAAACAAAAATAATAATGAACTGACACTTTTCAGACGGTAAGAAAAACAGGACAGATGGCAAACTGCAAAGTTAAGAAACCAGCAGAACTAAAACTATTTTAAAATGTTTGCACATTGGGGGTAGCATCACCGAAGCAAGTTTAACAAAACAGCTTAGTTTTCATTACTGATTTTAAAATAGCTACAAAACATGCGAATCATGAGAAATCCTTCTGCAGATCTTTCAGACTCAAGAGTGCCCGACACTGATGATCAAGCGGCAGAATCCAATGGAAGCCTGGACCAATTCTCCTCTACCCATTGCTTGGGAAGAGCAATTCTGTGCTTCCGGGGCAATTCCAAATGAGAGGAAACCCTTGTTTCTGAAAGAAGAGAGGTCAGCAAAGCTTGCACAAGGGAGATAAGCAAACCCATCTTCTAGAAATAAGCATTTCCGCTAGTTTCAGGGTTTTCCCAAGGAAGTGCTAAATTTCCCTTGAATAAATGGTGGATCTTGCTTATGGCGGGAAGGAACCCATGGGGTGGAAATAATTGGCAGAAGCCTAAGCTCTCTGTTGGATTCTGTCCAAGGCTGGCAGATGTATGTCCTGTAAAAACAAAACAAAAACCTTTGTGCTAGCAGGGCAAGTGAAGCCATTCAACAGAATGTATAATTAGTTGCCACGCTGCAATTTGCCTAAAGGCTCAAGGCATGCAAGGACAAACGATACTCCGTGGAAAGAAAACCACAGCGCAGAATTCGCCATTGACAGAAAACTGATAAAATGGCGAAGATGGCTGGACAGGGAAAGAACCCCAAAACAACTAAAACCAGATGCAGAACCGAAAAGAGCTGATGAAATACCTTGCCTTGTCTTCACCAGATTTTTATCAAAATGACTTTCATGCATCACAAAGGTCCCACATCCTTCTCACTACACTGACAACAGAGCCACTTCCCCACAGCCTCAATCAAGGGGGTGACAGGGACAACTTTAAACGATGGGGACGTGTCAGTAGGGGCAGCCTAGTTGGGGAGGAAATGAATGACAGACTTGGGAACACATGGAGGGCCCTTCAAACAGACAGGGATGGCTTGGAACGAAGCCAGAGAAAAGCCATTTTCCCCCTCTGCAGGAAGGTAAGACAAGCTAGTGAGAAACCGGGCCTAATTCTGAGCCTGGCAGGACAAATCTGTGAGGGGTACAGTCAGCGCAAGACAGAGCAGGATGGTCATTTAGTGGCCGCCGGATAATTCTGCTCACTCGGAAACTCTTTGCTGCACACAAAAGGACACGTCCTACACAGTGGAAGGGGACAAGCAACCCGTATTTTTAAGCCTTCTCACATTATCAGTTACAAGCATTGATGGACACAGGAACTTGGTGTCAAAGACAGACACAAGCCAGCAGTCCATGACCTCCAAATTTCAAGTACTTGCATCTTTCTTTCTTTCCTTTTTTTGGAGAGTGGCATTAGCCCAAACTGCAGAGTTCTGTCAAGCTTTTGTGCTCTGCTTCCTGAAGCCAGCTGCTTTGTGTTCACGGCTGGGTTACTGCAGGTATACAGTCAACATTCACCTGGGTTTGCCCACACATTCAGTCCATCCTCCTTGAGAATGAACTATTCAAGTTAGTTATATTGCAAATTAAAAAGAGAGAGAAAAGAGAAAAATAGACAGGACAGACGAATTACATTCTGTATGCTCCTTTTAGGTTGAAAAAATACGTGTTTTAAAGGCTTGTCAAAGTTTAGAAGAAAAGCATTTCTGTTAAAAAATCCAAGGTTAAAAAAATCATTAAGACATTGTATTTTTTCTTCTGATCTTACAAACATTACAAATATACTACAATTTGACCGAGAAGATGTCACGAACAAGCTGCCGCTCAGCATGCAATGCCACTGATCTCCGTTTGGTTCAGGTATCCGTGTACCTTCACACTTCACAATGCTCGCAGCCGAGGCCCACCCGCAAAAGCCCTGATTAATAACAATCCTATAAAAAAGGTAAAAGCTAGAGTTAGTGGCAAATTCTTTATCTTCACAGTAAATCGTTAACGGGATTAGCTTCCTCGTGGTCGTCTGCAAAACGGCGGCATCAGTCGATTGGACCCTGAAAAATGAGCTTGACGCAGTTCTGCTCGCCGGTGAGCTGCGTGGCACAGAAGGGGCAGGCGGCGTGGAAGGCGTGGGTGCCGTGGGGCAGCGGGATCTGCGACCAGTACTTGGCGGACTTCTCGGAGCACACGTGCCCGCAAGGAGTGAACGCGTAAGTCGGCGGGCCAGCGTCGACGTAAAAGCCCGCCTCGCACCCCAGCCAGAGGGGGACGTAGGGGCCCACGGTTCGGCACATGGGGCACTCGCGCTCGTTGGCCTCCGTGTCGCTGCGGTGCCCCCAGTTGTGGTAGCCGTGGACGTGGCCGCAGCTGAGGTACGCCCACGGCTGCTTCTCTTCCACCACCTCCTTGCGGCTGATGCTGGGGAAGGCCAGCGTGTTCAGCCCCACGGGGCACTGGGGCCGGGCCGCGTTGATCTCCTGCCGCAGGGCCTCGATGTGCTTCTGGGTGGGCGTGTGCAGCAAGCCCTCGGCCGTCCTCCACAGCAGCGTGGCCCCGCACAGGTCGATGAGCGAGCCATCCTGGAGGACGTTGGTCTCGTTCTCTACCTGCGGCAGCAGGGAGAGATGTGGGGCCACCCGTCAGCTTATCGACTCACTCGCTCCCTGCGCTTCTTCCTTCCAAGCGACGCAGGGCAGCTCACACGTTTCTCCTGCTCCTCTCGACCTCAGCCTCACAACCACCACCCTGCGAGGCGGCTGGGACTGGCCCAAAGGCACCCGGCAGCGCCAAGACTGGGTGGGGACTGGACCCCAAACCCCCACTGTACACCCCACTGGCCCTCGGGTATGCCCTCGCTCTCCGTAATTCATCCTGACCCCCCCACCAGACACAAGACGCCCCCCATCTTCCCCTCCCGTGCCTGTCACTGATGCCTCATCCAACCTCCTCCTCGTCCCCACAAATCCTCGTCTTCTCCCGTGTGACAAGCCATTGTGGTTTAAAAACCAGAGCAGCCGGCTCCACAGGCGCTCCTCGCTCCCCCGAGCCCCCTTTCCTCCTTCGCTGTTGACCGCCTCACGGCCAAAATTTTAAATTGCAAGTTTCCCCGGGCGGAGGCCTTCCTCATTTTGCTCACACCACTGTAAAATGCACATTGAGCATTGATAGTGTGGCATAAACAATGATCTTCACACAGTAATGTCGTTCACAGGACTATGTTACAGCAAGAAGTCCCTGAAAAGACTAATATAAATTTATTCTCTCAGAAAGCCCACTTGGTCAGATATATGAAGCAGTTCTCTATGTCGGTAGAGACACACACACATCTTGGAAAAAGACTGCACACGCCGGGGCCCAAAAGTGCACTGGTTTTCCAACATGAGCATTCCAGACTCATGCACACACTTTAATTTATAAGGGACTAAGACCAGAATTTCATCAGGATGCGTCATGCATTTCACGTTTGCAGCTGAAGCTTCCCTGAAACCCCAGGTCCTCTGGCATGCAATTCATCAGCAACAAGTTTGGATTTAAACGAAGCAGAAAGGTCACACTGCAGACTCTCACAGACATAGTCAGAGCCATCAATCATGGGAACTCCAGGCTGGCGAGAATGCAAAGCAGCGTCTTCTACCTTGTGCTCAGGAAGGGCATCCCGTTTCTTGGTGTAAGGCGCATCTTTCCCCCTCGTAAAGTTTCAGGAAGGGACAGGACAGGAGGCCTCGCTGAGCTGGCCTGCAGCAAGCCCAGCCCGTACGGGGCGGGGAAGGCCTGGCTTTGGTTTTACAGGCCTTGGGACCGTCTGGGTTGAATGGGTGCACCGTGCTCTGCATGGGCTGCCCATGAAGCCACGAATGGGGCAGAGCACGGTGGCACCTTTCCCCTGGAGCCCTCCCCACAGGAAGTACCTGGCCCCATCTTTACACCAACTTCCTTGTCTCTCGATTCACGTCCAGGCCCAGCTCCAAAGTGCTGGCACCGACATTTACGGTTCTGACTCCCTGGGATGTCTTAAGGGCGCGACAGGCATCGCCCCCGCCCCAGACATCTTCCCCGTGTCCTCCAAACCACCCCATTCCCCCTGGGGATTGTTTTCAAACTACTTTTCTATTTTTCACTGGCAGCCAGGCCTACTTCAGGGCAAAGTGGGAACCTCTTGCTTTCTCCTTGACTTCCCACGGATGTCTCCAAGCAGGCTACTTGTCTTCTGTGGCATGGAAACTTTCCCAAAATTCCAGATATGCTCCAAAGGTTTCCTACTGCTCTTAAGGACCACCTTCCCCATAACTAACGCCTCCCTGTCCGCAGGTCATCAGCCAGCCTCCTGCTCTGCAACCTTTCCCCCAAAGAGGTCAGGCAACTGGGTACCCCGAACAAGCCCCTTTTAAGGGGCTTCAAATCCCCCTTAGCCCTGACGGTCCACCTGGAGTTAAGGCATGGCTGCCCCGGAGGGCTTTACAGGGAGAGTATGGAGCACATCTGTTTGCGGTGTTTTTCTGATGGGTTTTCGTGTTGCTTTATTCCGTAGGCTGCTTCAGGTTTACATTTCATTGCTGCCACTCTATTTTACAAACAGGAACTGCTCCGGACCTGACCATTCAGACAGTCAGGCTAGAAATGGATTTCAAAGGCATGATTTATCATAAACACCCCAACTTACTAGCTTGCCTCTTTGCTGGGCAGATCTTGTTTCACGCAGAGTATATACATCACCGCAGACCGAAATTTCACGCCAGACCCCAGGCTTAGATTCTTCTGTAAACCCCCCTTTGGGATGCATGACTAGAACGCCATTAGTCGTTAGCCCATCCATGTGTCCGTCGGGATTCTTCCACTTTGCTGCTTTTTCCTGGATACCATGTGCAGCAAGAAAAAAACAGCAACAGGTAACTAACTTCGCCTTCCAGCATCAACCAATAAAGGCATTCTCTCATCCAGTCACCTAAGTGAGTAGTCCAAAAGAAATCTGGTAACTTTGGCCTCAGAGACACAGACACCGTTCCACACGGTTTTTCCCCAGAATGATGGAAAGGCCTGGCCACAGTCCTGAACAGCCTGTTAACAGCCAGGTTAGATAACTGCATTTTTGCTTTAATTCAGCTGAGATTGTTTTATTGGTTTTCTGTGTTTATTTCCTCCTGTTCCATCTATCCATTTATTTATTTATTGTTTTTATATGCTGTGGTTTTCTGTGTTTATTTCCTCCTGTTCCATT